TACTTATAACTCTACTTATAACCTACTTACTAAGTCCCCTGGGCCTAAACCCTAAACCCTAAACCCCTAAACCCCTAAACCCCTAAACCCCTAAACCCTAAACCCTAAACCCTAAACCCCTAAACCCTATCACAAAGCTTTATCAGCTCTAGGTGACGAGCTGTACATCTTGGAGATGCTGCTTGTTGTCCTCTCCAAGGCTCTTGGCAGCTTCGCCGACCTTGGCAGCCTTTTCCCGGTGTTCCTAAAGGAACCCTTACAGAAACCCTTATAGCAACCCTCATAGGGACCCTTGCAGGAACCCTAAAAGGAGCACAGATGGAGAGGGTTGGGGCCTTGTGGTTTCGGTTTGCTTCTCATAGGTCCTATCCCGAGTGGCAAAGTTTGCTAGGCACCAGTCTCCAATACAGAGATCCCCAGGTTTAGGGTTTAGGTTTTAGGGTTTAGGGTTTAGGGTAGCCAAACGGCCCAATTCCCGAAGCACATCGTTGTATATGAAGCATGACTGATATCAGGGGTTGGGTGAGCTCATGTGAGCGCATACAGGGGTTTTTAGTAACGTTGAAGAGTGTGTACCTCATGTCAGTCAACACCTGTATCAGTTGCATGGACTATCGAGGAATAACACTACTCATAGTCGAGGCTCCGATATCACCGCATGGTAAGCTCGTGATCAGGAAAGATGACGATGGAGATGATCCAGCAGCCTAACACCTTTTGCATCCAGCCACACCAGGTCGATCTTGACTTCTGCACAAGGGCTGGTAGCATGCTTCTGGCAGCACTGGGTGCTGCTGATGTCGACACAGCATCTTAGCCGTCAATGAGGCACTGTTTGACCTTCGATTGGCTAGTCTGGCTCATACTGTATATAACCCTCCCAGACCTTCCAATATGTTTTTGCAGGAGTGTACCTTAAATTGTAGTAGGATCCCTAATCTGATATAATGTACATTCCTTAATCAAGGGATGTTGGAAGGTATGGGCTAAGTGAGCCACCCACAACTTGACCGTGAACCTTTCAGTCCCTGCCAGCAGCAAAGGAAGCTACACGCTGCATTGCAGCCTCGGAGCTTTGGATCGGCAGAAGAGCTGGGCTCTCACTGAGCTCTACGCCCCAGATTTTGCTGGTTGAAGATTGGATCAGGGAGGGGGACATGGAAGCTGCCGAAAAGTGGTTTCGCGGAATGACGGCCCGTGGATACGAGCCCAAAGTAAGCTGCTGCCTGGCCATGTTCGCTGGACATGGCGAAGGTGTTGACCTCAAGCATGCGGAGTCCTTGCTGGAACTCTTGGTCCATAAGTCGCATGGGCAGAGCCAGACAGTGGCATGCACGGTGTTGATGATGCTTCAGAGTCTCGAACGAATCCTTAAACCTTGAAGCCTAAGCCCTTAACCGGAGCAGTCGTTTGTTGTGGTTTTGATCTACCGATCTGCTCTTTGCGCTCTTTTTCGAGGTTTATGCAAGATACCTGCCAACAACCTCACGGGTTTACGGTTACGGGTTGGGAAGGTCTTAGATGAGTATACAGTCTCCAATTCCGGATGTTTGGGCGATTTAGGGCTTCTTTGGCGAAGCTTGGTTTTGGAAGCTAGTGACGAAGCCCGAAGCCGTTCACACCCCAAACCCCTCAACACTCAAATCATCATCCGCAGTGTCTGCCTCCAGCCTCTGAACAAAAAACCTCAGCGCCGGAAGCGGAAGCCTTAGAACCCCGGCCATACCCTAAACCCGCACCCACAGCCTAGATTTTAGAGTTAAGGGTTTAGGGCCTGAAACACACAGCCCTGTCTCCAGATCGCAGGAAGAGCATCATAGCACACCTTCGCGCGGCTCTTTGTCGCACATACCAAGGCTGCCAGTGCAATGGTTAGAGTTCAAGCAAGGTCGTCAATGAGTCAGGGTTCTATGGGCACTTGTCTCCAGGATGTACGGATTGCAGATTGGCTGTTGCAAGTTTCGGGGGACGATAGGTCTTTAAGAACAAGAAGGTATGAAGGTATGAGTATACATATATGATATGTGGATATACATATATACAGATATACATACATATATGTATGTATATATATATATATATACATATGCATGGTACTAATGCTCCTTGTTTTGTGCCACACTCTTGACGCTAGCCGCTGGGGCCCGGGGGTGATCAATAATTACATGGCCATGTTTCACCGATTCTACGGTTGTTAGTACACACATAGTACACACACATTGCCCGTCAATGTTCGTGTCGGGGCTGCCTGGAGGTCCCACGCAGTCCAAGCAGAACTTCGGAGTGGATGCTGCGGCTCACGGCAGCTTGCTGGATGCTTGTGCAAGCACGGGCAATTTCGAAGATGCCGAAAGGGTGTTGGTGGTGATGCAAGAGCAGTGCATTGCGAGCTGCTCTCCGTTGGCAGGGGTGCTTGCGCAGACCGGCATGTGGTACGAAGTGGAGGCTTTGGGGCAGAGCTCGGAGTGGGAGGATCTTGGCGTCAACGACCTCTTCCTCTGCGCCCTCTTGCTGTCATATTCTCTTGCCAAGGCGAAGTTGATCTCGAGGGCCGTCGTCACAACACGGCAGATTGAGATCAACGAACTTCGTGTGAAGAAGGCTGAGATGCTCCAATGCAAGCATGAATTTGCAGGCATGTGGCTAGTTCTCTAAATTAGGGTCTCTTTTTGGGTCCCCAATATAGTACGGCACCCTTATAAACGGGACCCTAAAAGGGACCCTAATTTAGAGAACTACCCATGTTGTGAAGCCAAGTAGACAGAGCCACCACAAGATCAGCTCTGGTCTGCATCCCACAGGTAACTTTGCCCTCTGACTCGACGGTACGAGTAAAGGGGCCTTATAATAATTTTGATATGGTTTGGGGGTATATTATACTATAAATCCAAAAAGGAACCCCCAAAAAATAGTATTGGTAAGTATTTATAGGCCGCTACATTCGGGTATTGGGGCGGAGACGTGCGCAGGGCCTCTTCAGGCTGGAAGATCGGGCATTACCCGCGGGATGCAGCTTTAGCTAGCCCGGCATCGTGGGCTTAAATTATTCACAGTGACTAGGACGCTACAGCAGGCCACCGACAGAGAGGAAAAAAGACGCGCCTCAGCCGATCTGGACGTCAGAACCTCTGCTTGCAGTCCTTGTTATTTTTTTGCTGTTATGTAGCCCAACACCCTATCCTAGTTACTATATGGGGGTTTCCGAAAATAGGGGACCCTAATACGGTACCCTAAATAGTAGGATCCTTATTATAAGGACCCCAAAATAAGGTACCCTAATTTAGAGAACTACCCATATAAGCCCCAATAACAGAGATGCCGACTGAATGCCTGCGCCATCAGCTGATGTCACTGGGCAGGAGCTATTCCTATCTCACTTGCCTGGGTTGCTCGCATTGGGTTATGAAGCATGTATCTGCAGGGTCTCCTTTACAGCCCGGCAGTCGGACAGGCATACTGTCACAACTTCGGGAGCAAAGATTGGCGCAAGAAGACGATCGAGACATGACTGCAGAAGCTTAAAAGCTTCCACGACGGAAGCATGTTTGTGAACGTGTACGGGGCCTTCGTTCGGATGTGGGAAGTTTATGATATGCTGGGCTGGCTCCGAATGCAAAGCCAGCCTGCTTTCGGATTCGGCCTGAATCCCTAAACTCTACACCCTTGAACTCCGAAACCCTCCCCTAGACCCCAAAACCCAAACCCCTGAACCCCGCCAGCTACAACCCAAAAGCACCCAAGCTGTGCCAGTACCCTAAACCCTGAACCCTAAACCCCAAGCCCTAAACCCTAAACCCTTAAAACCCAAAAGCTCCCGAGCTGTGCCAGTACCGAGGAGTGCCTCCGTCACCAGGATCTCGATGCACTCTGGCGGCAGAGTTCCCGAGTTTGGGCCTTCCCTAAAGGTTAGGGCTTTTAGGGTTTAGGGGTTTAGGGTTTTATAGGGTTTAGGGTTTAGGGTTTTAGGGTTTTAACGTTTAGGGTTTAGGGTTTTAGGGTTTTAGGGTTTAGGGTTTAGGGTTTTAGGGTTTTAGGGTTTTAGGTTTTTAGGTTTTAGGATTAGGGAGTGCGTGTACCCAGATAGTATATACTTTGGCACCAAAGGACCTATGTAGGGAATACTTCAAGGCCAAAGTATGTGCTAGTTGGGTATGTGGACTTTTAGGGGTTGGGCTCAGGGTTCAGGGTTTGGGATGCATGGAGTTTAGGGCTTTGGGGCTTGCGTTTTCAAGGCTTAGGGTGCAGGGGATCGGGTGCGGCGTCCAGGGTTCAGGATTCCGATGTTGGTTTTGCGGGTTTTCGGATTCGGGCCTTCGGTGTGGGGTTGGGGTTTGTGGTTGTGTTCCGGGCTCCTGTGTAGTCATGCAAACACGGGCCTCACCTGCGAATACCCGACTGAAAGTAGTAGTAGTAGTAGTAGTAGTAGTAGTAGCTATGGCAGTCAGTGCCTCAAAATGCTAAGCCGGACACGAGTAGTCAAGGAGTAGCGGGAGGCTGGCATGGGTTTGAAGGCTTTCTGTGCCTTTTAACAAGTCTCCCTTGCATGGTAACTTTGAGCTTAAACACCTGAACCACTACTGATCGCATCCTGGGCAGGGTGGGAATGGCTAGTGGACAGGATGGGGTGATTCAAAGCAGCTCTTCCAGTATCCCCTAGTTGAGGAATATACCGCACCTGCAACTTTATTAGGGTTTAGGGTTTAGGGTTTAGGGGCTCTACGACTTCAGATATATTACGGCATACTCCTCAGTTAAGTGTTTAGGGTTTAGGGTTTAGGGGCTGTGCGACTTCAGGTATATTACGGCATACTCCTCAGTTAAGGGATCTTGGAAGACCTAGGAAAGCAGAGAGCACGCAAGCAAGGCGCTGGCCGCTGACGTCTGGTTGATGAGTCTCACGCCTGTTTAGCGGCTCTGGGGTCTTGAAGCCGTGTTCAGGGCTTTAGGGGGTTTAGGGCTTAGGGATTTAGGAGCTTTAGGGGTTTAGGGCTTAGGGATTTAGGGGCTTAGGGTTTAGGGCTTAGGGATTTAGGGGCTTAGGGTTTAGGGCTTTGGTGGTTTAGGACTTAGGGATTTACGGGTTTAGGGTTTAGCAGCCGGGTGGCAAGCAACATTCCGGTCTCAGCGGTACAACTCTACTCCTGCACACCCGAAAGGACAACCCTGTCCTATACGCAGCCTGATGCAAAGCCAACTATGCTTCTGATTCATCGTGTGTGGCTATGGTTTAGATGGCAAAGGCGGCAAAGGCTCAGAATCGTAGCTGGATTGTCGTGCCCTGCGCTGGCCTGTGCTCTGCCCAAATGCGCTCTGGCATCTCTGGCATGAGTTTAGGCTTAATGAGGAATAGGGTTTGGGTGGCTTGGCCGCCTTATATGGCGTGGGGTGGGAAGAAGGGAAAATCGCCTTCTGTAGACAGGCTTTCACAGCTCCTCGCCACAGTACGATGCACTCGACACAGCCTTGTCTCGAGATAGTATCGCTTACGAGCTATTCCACAGCAAACCCTAAAGCCCTAAACCCGAAAACCCTACTGTAAACCCCTAAAATCCTAAAGCCATAAACCTCTAAACTCCTAAACTCCCAAACCCTAAACCCACAAAGCACTTTCGCCAGCATCCTCAGGCCCGCCTTGCCAGCCTTTCACGCGCTCGGGGAAGCGGCGGCTGAGTGACGATTTGTGGGGTTCGGGTTTAGGGTGTGGGGGCTTTAGTTGGTTTTAGGGGTTTATAGGGTTTAGGAATGTTTAGGATCTATGGGGGTTTAGGTTTTAGGGGTTTTGGATTCGGAGGAAAAGAGACCAGCAGAAATTCTCTGGACTGCTGCCTTCTGCACGTGTCCCAGCCCAACAAACCCGAACCACGCAAGGCAGAGTTCGGACCACGCGGCTGCCGACCGCAGCGTGTTGCTCCAAAGCAACCTGCCAGTTAGACCGTCAGCCAAATTGCTCCGCGCCTGCGAGTCGCAGCCTGAGATCTCTGGTAGTTCCGATGCGCGCGCATCGTCAGCACTCCGTCCATGAGCAACATGTCCAAACAGCCACAGCAGCCAGCACATGGATCAAGGCGATGACGGAAAGACAAGTCTGGGCGGGGCAGTCTGTCCTCGCCGTGTGGTATATGGACCGCCACGACCAGTGGCGCCTATACCGCACGGACGACCTGGACTTCGATTACGAGGAGGGGGAGTACCCCGGAGCTGACGCAGTGGGCCTCTCGATC